AATGGCACTCACAGGAGACGGGTTTTATACAGATATAAACAGTTGTTGCCCAGTGGAGATTTGTGAAACATTCTAAGTTCAACAGCAGGCCATAAGGTAGGATGTTGCTGCGAAACGATTCTTCTGTCTCAATGATAGGAGTATAGTGGCAAAGCAGTCTACGGCAGCTTTCAATAATGTGGTCTCAGAGGGGATCTCATGGATATTGCACATAATAAAACAAAGGAGGGTTTTTGCCCAATGGAGATGGGCTTTCTAAGTTCAAGAGCAGATCATAAGTTGAGGGGGTGTAGCGAGAAGACTCCTCTTGTGGTTCAGGTTTATTGTGGTAGAATAGTTGTAAAGTTGTTGAACTGTCTGTGGCGGCGACTGTCAAAGGTGTGTTTCTAAAGTTGTCTGATTATATTGCAGAAGGCCACTCACAAGAGAGATTTTTTTATAGAGATCTTAACAAAGGGGAGTCTGTTACCCAGTTCAACAGCAAATCATAAGTTGAGAGGTTGCAGGAAATTTGTTCTTCTAAACTTCAAGTTTATTGTGGTAACAGATGAGACTAGTGTTGAGGAGTCAGCAGTAATTAGTTAATGATAGTTCAGTAGCTAGGCGGGCAGCGTCTTTCATCCGGCTTTGGGCGCAGGAGGGTAGGCTCAATGTTTAAATAAGTATTTTATGTAGACTTTAGACAGGCTTAAGGTCGGACGAAGTATTAGAACCTTGGTAAGGCAAAGTTTTGAGGCAGACCAGAAGTATCGGAGGCGTTGTGTGAGTTCAGTGTCACCCCCACGCCACCGGTTGTAGGAGCCTGAGAGGAGGGGCCCAACAAGCGTATGGTGAAGGGTGAGATTCGAGTGTAAGGCAGACAACCAAGATGTCTTAATTGCTTTCTTTGCTAAGTCATGTTGTTGGAAAGAGACTGCTCCTCCTCCAATGTGTCTTCCTCTCTTTATCTGCTTATCTATATATCTTTCTGTCGACCTACGTACCGATCTCTCTCTATATATCTATCTCTATCTCCCCCTCCCCTCCATCTCTCTCTATCTATGTATATATATCTATCTTTCTCGCTATTTTCTTTAGGTTTGTCTTTCATTGTTTTATCAATTTCTGAGCAGTTTTACAGAGCTTTCATTAATGATTAATTCAGTCCAGCTCAAAGACTTATAGTTCTGTGGAAGGGATTAGATTGAACTTGAACACTTAAGCTACATGAATAACTACAGTTCTTTAAGGGTTTCTGGGATTTTAGGGCTGATCTCGAGATAGAAAGACGGGCAGAAAGAGGCAAATAGACAGACAAACAAAGACGATAGACCACAGAGAGGCCAGTGGAACAGAAGGGAGATTATTACCCGGTTTGATTTTATATAGAGAAGTTACCGCTAAAACTCCAGCCCAGAACCATTAAAGAAAACGTTCCTAAATTGAATGTAAGGGTGTAACTATTCTATGTACTTTTTCTTATCACTTAATTGTTTATTGTTACCGTCATCATTAGTATCGTTTTTTAGTATCAGTACCATTATATTGTTTTATTACCACTGTAAAATTATAATAATAACGTCATCCTTATTAATGTTTTTTTTTTCTTTTTTTGTGGTGGTGGTGTTATTATTATTATTGTGAAAATGTTTCGTGAAGACACTGACGGTAGGTACGTGTATATTTTGCCAGAAGGCGGCTCAGATATCTGCCGCTTCCTGTTTTCCAGGCTTGGCCGCGCGCCGGAAAGAAGTCCCATCGGAAAAAAAAACTTTTACGAGCTTTTTGCAATGAATTATCAGGGGTGGGGGTTTGTTCAAATTATGTTATTGGACAACTGAACTTCAAACCCGTATAGCCGTTGTCCGTTGTCAGCCGTGCGAACACTGAGGACGAATAGAAGACAGAAAATTTCCATCTTCTTTTGTACCGAATCCTACACAAACTATGTCGAACTGTTTAATATTATTTTAACTTTAAGCATGTCAATTTTTATGCAATGCTGACAAGCATAACATATTGTTTTCGGCCAAACTGAACGGCACACGGCAAGGGGAAGCGTGGCATGTTGGCGTCGCTTGGAGTTTGTTCGCGTTGCGTTTCAAATCTTTCATTAAGACTGAATCCAGCCCAAAAGTTATTAGAAACATCAAATTACTTTGATAATTTCTTGAGATCAATGTATAAACTGTTTCACTAGTCTTCAGTCTTGAAATTTCTATCGATTTCACTGCAGTGAAATTTGTGTACAACAGCGTCACGTGAGCAGGTCGTAAGATGACTGCGGGGGCTTTGAAAAGTGGGCGTTGGCATATTTTGGGTGTGGCAAACAATCTTTCAGTTGGTCGTATTTCATAAATGGTAAAAGACATTAAGTTAGAAATTTCAGGGTGGAATACACTGTAATTTATCACAGTTTAGCCAAATACAATCAAAATCTGAGATGGTAGGTGTTATTCTAACAAAATGTGTTGCTTTAACATGGAATGACCTTTTTAGTTGATTAATTAATAACCAAAAGTTAATTATTAACCTAATATTTGGATTGTTAATGGCCAACCTTCCATGAATTATCATCTGCGAAAGTTTCACATTGATATATTAGTTATTAAGAAAGTCAAAATTGTCAATTGTTTTTATATTCTGGTCACAAAACTTTGTATAATTCCTTTCGAAACTTCCAAACTTGAAAATGTTGAACATTCTTTATTATTCAACCAAAATCCCTGATTTTGGTGTCATTTTAAAGATCTTTTGAAGTTCTGTATTTCGGTGCAATAAAATGTGAGTTTGGGTACACAGGTCAGACCTGGAGATGTTCAATAACCTATAGTAGCTAGGCAGGTACCCGACGCTCTCAATTCCGTTTAAAAAATGGTACTCGCCCTCAGCCACAGTGGTAGTCTGTCAGAGAGGAAAGAAGCAGAGGAAAGAGAGAGGAAGTACATAGAGAGGACAAGAGAGTCAGAGAGGTCAAGATCGGTCTTTTGAAAAGGTGTTTGCTGAGATACCTTAGTGAATGTGTCTTGCTGCCCTGACTAGCGCACTGTGTTTTATTTGTTGTGCTCTTGAGTTGTGTTCTACTTGTAACCAGTGATTAACGTAAGAGCAGAAGCCTTCTTTCTTTCGGACCTCCATTGTTAAAGGTTCACCTGGAACCTCACCTTCAACAGAGGTTCCGTACAATCATCATTATCATAATCATTATCAGTATTATCGTTATCATTGTCATTTTTATTTTTATTAATACCATTATCATTGTCATTGTCATTATCTTTATCGTGATTTTCTATCGTAATTATCACCATTTTTTTTTATCATTATCATTACTATTATCATATTATCATGATGATGATTATCATTATTATTACTAATATTACCATTATTATTGTTATATTGCTATTGTTTTATTATTATTGTCATTATTATCATTATTATCATTATTATTATTATTATTTTCATCATTATTATTATGGTCATACCACTGTCACCATCATCATCACTATCAACATTATTCTATTCAGTCATATTTCTAGGAAAGGATTTATTATTGGTATTCTTTTAGAGTAAATGTTATAATGCTAATCGACTCTGTAGATAACAAATGACAAACGGGCGTCATATGGTAAAATAGAACGATAGTTATTGCCGAAAAAGTGAACCCGGAAATACCATTAACTATGGAAAAAAATATAATACAATCCTAGGGTTGATTATCAAAAGTTTTTACTTTATCTTTCTTCTATCGACTCTTCACTTTACTTTTTACTTTTTACTCTGTTGTTGTTTTTTGTGTTAGAGGAAGAATAAAGTTCTTGCGAATTACATTGTTATATGTTTATTCCTATTTACAGTTCACTTATAGGCGAATGTAATCACCAGTCTCTCTCTCTCTCTCTCTCTCTCTCTCTCTCTCTCTCTCTCTCTCTCTCTCTCTCTCTCTCTCTCTCTCTCTCTCTCTCTCTCTCTCTCTCTCTCTCTCTCATCCATCTATGTATGTCTATATTCACTGACATACATCCACTATTCACTTTTAATAGTATTGCTAATTGGACGGAATACGCTATGGAAAAAATACTCTGTTCACATACTAAATTAATTATGTTTCAAGTAAAGCAAAATATTATTTTCCGGATCTTCTAATAATGAATGAGTTCAACGACAAATTTCATCAGATTTCAAAATGTCATCTCGATCCTGAAGGTTAAAGCAAGGCCGATATCCTAGATTAGCCCGAACCTTATCTGATTAATTAAAGCAAGTCCTTCCTGATGCTTGAAGCAAATCTCTCCTGATAATGAACCAAGTCCCTCCTGATACTGAAGAAAATCTCTCCTTGTGTTGATGCCAGTCCCTCCAGATAATGAGTCCCTCCTTATACTGATAGCCAGTGTATGCTTCGCCGAATCCCCAAGCCCAAAGTAGATAATAATACAAGCCTATTAAGTCTTGTAAATCTTATACGCACCTTATCCCAAACCCTAAGCAAACCTCACCTGATACCGAAAGCTGAAGATGATTCCCTAAAGACCCTGATACTCCGAGACCTAAGACCTAAATGACTCTTGTCCGGTTAAAGCTTCGAGGAGACTGATACTTCGAGGCAGAGGACGCGCGCAAGACGCAGATCAGGAGGAACTCTTCTTGTGGAACACGAGGAACCGTTTCTCGCCTTCATTCGTTTCTTTGCTTCTCTTCCTTACTCTTCTTGTTCTTTCTTTGACCTGTTCTTCTCGTCTCTTCTCTTTTCTTTTCTCTTCTCTTCTGTCCCTCTCCTTACACCACACCACCTTTCCTTCCCTTTCCTCTTCTATTATATTATATATTATATTATATTCCATTCTATTCTATTCTATACCCTTATCCTCTTCTCCTCTCTCCCTCCTCCTCTCCTCACTTCCTCTCCACCTTCTTCCTTATCTCTCCCCATGAGAAGGCATCCGGGACTCCGCTCATTCCTCCCCTCTCTTCTTTTATTCTCTCCCATGTTATTCTCTCATTCTCTCCTCTCCTCCCTTCGC